AAACCCTAAACCCTAAACCCTAAACCCTAGTTTCCGAAGATAGGGGTACAAAGACACAGTCTCTCGAGGGTTTGGCTCTCTTCCTGGAAGGGCCTCCGTTTCGGGGTCCCCTTCTTCGCCAGGGTTTGGGGCCTAAGGTTTGCAGCCACGGGATAGGGTTTAGGGTTTAGGGTTTAGGGTTTTCAGGGTTTGATCAAAGAAGCAATCAGTGCATGCTTAGCTGCTCTAGCTTTTCCTCTTCTGTCTCCTTGTCCATTTCTTTGTGCTTTAATTTACTCTTTAGTGTGCCGTTTGTTTGCTTGTCCCTAGGGTTTAGGGTTTAGGGTTTAGGGTTTAGGGTTTAGGGTATAGGGTATAGGGTTTAAGGTTTGTGGCACTCTCTAGAGGGCGGGTTGCACCACCATTTGCTTGTGTGTGTCTCTACGCGTACCCCGCACACCCCGATGCGCAGCCCGTTTTTTAAACCCTAAACACCAAACCCTAAACCCTGATTTGTGGTTTGGCGTTTGCCCGAATGTCAGAGCGCACAGCGAGCAGCGCAGCGGCTCCTCCGGTCCCAGGGTCCAGGGTCTAGGGTTTACCAGGGCTTGTCGGGGTTTAGGGTTTAGGGTTTAGGGTCTAGGGTTTAGGGTTTAGGGTTTAGGGTTTAGGGTTTAGGGGTTTGTTGCTGCAGTGGCGCCGGCGGAGGGCGAGGGGCCTGTGCTGCTGTCGGCTGCGAGCAGTCCGCAGCCTTCGGGGTCTCAGCTGCAGCGAAGTGGAATTTCAAATGTAAACAAATTTATTTAACTTAATTTGATTAATTTGATTTAATTAATTTAATTTAATTTAATTAATTAATTTAATTCATTTAATTAATTCAAATTTAATTGATTTAATTAATTTCAAAAATCCGAATTTCAAGAATTCAAATTCCGCGTTTTCCGACTGCGGCCAGGTGCAGGTGGAGCAGTAAATAAATAAATAAATAAATAAATAATTCAATTAATTCAATTATATGTTTAATTAAATTAAACGAATTAATCATTCAATTAAATTAATTAATTAAATGAATTAAATTGATTGATTATTAAAATTGTAATGCAGTTGGTTTTTGTGGATTTTGCAAATATTGCAAATAAAGAATAAAGGAAGAATTAAATTAATTTAATGAAAATAAAATAATTAAATGATTTTAAATAAATTCAAAATTTAAAATTTAATTCAGTGAAAAGTTCAAAATATTTAAAAGCGGCGTCTGCTTGGCGGGCTCAGTTACTGCTGCTGCTGCTGCTTTGCTGCTGCTGCTGCTGCTGCCTTTGGTGTCTTTGCCGCCGTTGCTGTTGTTGCTGCTGTTGCTGTTGTTGGTGCTGCTGCTGTTGTTGCTGCTGTTGCTGTTGTTGCTGCTCTTACTGTTGTTGCTGTTGCTGCGGTGCTGCTTCTTCCGTCGTTGCTGCTGCTGCTGCTTTGCTGCTGCTGCTGTTGCTGTTGCTGCTGCTCTCGTTGCTGCTTCTGCTGCTGCAGTCGCTGCTCTCTTTGCTGCTTCTGCTGCTGCTCTCTTTGCTGCTGCTGCTGCACCAAATGAGTTAACGAATGCTGCAGAAATAGATGAATGTTTGCAGCAAGTGGTTCGGAATAAGAAAACAAAAGGAAATAGATGGATCAAGCATTTTGTTTTTCAACTGATTAATTGTAATTATTACTTTTGTGGTTAGTAAATTGTTTTGGTTTGAAATAAAATGAAGTAAAAAGAAGAAATTGTTTTTGTTGCTGCTGCAAGTCAGGCCAGCCGGGTGGGAACGACCTCCGCAGCAGCAGCAGCAGCAGAGGCTGCAGCAGCAACGGCGCCAGCTGCAGCAGCGTCTGCAGCAGCAGCAGCGGCAGCGGACGCCGCCGCCGCAGCAGCAGCTGCTGCTGCGGAGGCCGCAGCAGCAGCAGCAGCAGGAGCGCCGCTGGGCGGAGCGGGCGAGGAGGCCGCAGCGCCGCCCGCAGACCCTGCTGCTGCAGAAGCAGCAGCAGCAGCAGCAACAGCAGAAGAGGGGGCCCCCTTCGACGAAGCTGCGCTGCACACGCTGCCCTCCGGAGAAGTGGGAAGAAGGGCCCCCGTAAACCCTCTTCATTCTCCCTTTTTTGCAAAGCTTGGAATTAATAAAAACAGAAAAAGAAAAAGAAAAGTTAAAGATCCAAAACTTTTAAATAATCCTCTGCGAGGCAGACTCGTCGTCTGCATCAGCACCACCGCCCTCCTCCTCTGGCTCTTCTTCTGGGAGTACCCCAAACCCTAAACCCTAAACCCTAAACCCTAAACCCTAAACCCTAGCGCTGCCGCCGACCTCCTCCCGCCGTTTGTGAACCAGCCGCAGCCCCTAGCCCCTCTCTCCCGCTCGCGCCCGCGGCCCCACGCTTGTAAACCCTAAACCGCAAACCCCAGGCGCCAAACCCTAAACCCTAAATTAGGGTTTGCGACGCAGGCTGCTGTACAACTACACGAGTTTCAACGGGCGCTGCGTCAGCTCCGTGCAGT